CACTGGCTACCTGTTTGGACGTTTCAATTTAAATTACAATATATAGAAGCATTTTATTACGGGGAGGGGTCGTGTTTTCCTAAATAGAGTAATCAACTTAAAGATATTCGTGAATTGTTTCATCAGGTTTCTGAGTTCTTTATTCTTCATTCAAAATAGTGGTCAGCATGGCAGCAGTACATAAAAAAGAATTATAGACCGCTGAATTGTGCTGACCTTACATAATACATAAAAATACAATGTAGGTACGAACAGTTATGTATTAGGTACAGGTATTACAATATGGACAACACATAAAAACTAAGTCTGCATTTGACTGTTTTAGAGTCTGATTGTGCGATGCAGAAATTAATTCTGCAGTCTGGAGGTTCTTGCCATGGGAACCCAAGTCAATGAATAAGGAGACGCTTTCTACACCTTCGAGTGTTTCATTCAGCCAACGTTTCGATAACCATCTGTTACCTTCCTCAGTGCAATTCTGACTGGTTCACATTGAACAGCACATGTGTCACTGCTATAGATTCGTTCCCAAACGTATTGACATGTCTTAACTATTACAGGGGACGGCATTTACATGCAACCTTCGAAATCTTTGTTTATGTATTTTATTGTATATACATATTCATCAACAAATTTCATACTTTCCTAGACTAATAACGTAAACACTGTGGCTAAATTCTTTTATTATATGATACTAACAACAAGATAGACGGAGTTGTCTGTCTAATTTGCGATTTCAAATACAAAAGACCTAATATAAGTGTCAAATTGGTATCAAAATATGTTAAGGTTTCTACAAGATCGTCTGAATCTAACACCTTTTTTTTATAGTGATAGTTCAAAAATAAACAAGAATTCGGAGATCTCATACCTCCATGAAATATATGAGTTTTTCTAAATGTTTTTACACAGTACACTTCAGTTGAGAACGAAATAACACAGGTTTTTGGTTTCAAACACACAGTAGCACCTTTGGCCTGGATATGGTCATGTAGACTTTTCCCCTGGGAGAGCCTCATTAATCAAAATCGGGCAGGCGCTGCCTCCACCCCGCACATCTGTTTTCCCTGCCACCCCGCACATCTGTTTCCCGGAAGTTCTGCTGCAGTACCAAGGTCAGCCACCAGGAGGCCCATATTTGACCTTGACCATTGGCTTCCAAAGACCTACCAGCATACAAAATATCATCACAATCCAAAAAGGCGTTCTGAAGTTATGCTGACTACAAATGTGCGGAAACACACACACATACACACACAGATGCGCCAAAAACAATACCTCCATTTTTCATGGAGGTACAAACATATAGAAAGGGTACTGTTTTTCTAAAAAAATTTAGCCGGTTCTAAATCTGCAAAGTTATACCCGTTTATGATGATTTAATATTAATATACTGTTAAAATATCACACAGGCACCACGCCCATGCAGCAGCCTCAGACTGATTGGAGGTCACTTGCGGACGCGGGTGCGAATGTTCCCAACCCTATGTACGTCACCAGAGCAGGTAATATTTTTCTAACACGTTGCCTTTGACTATTCTTAATTATGTTTACCGAAGGAAAACGTGTTGTTCTTGCTACGTTTCCTCTTCTTCTTCCGTTCCAAACACTTACCTCTGACCTAGCCAATGACCTGATTTGTTGACGTCTCTCACCATGGTAACTGGTGTTGGGTTACATTATGTTGCAATTTTATAGTAGGGGGGATTTATACTCCTGTCTGACCCTATATATGAAATGACTGAAGGAACCATATGAGGGGGAACAAGAGGCCAGTTCCTGGCCTGAGCACGTAGGCAGGGTCATATATATATATATATATATATATATATATATATGACTTAATTTGAGTACGAATTAACAGAGCAGACCATATGCGAAGGTAAACATTATGCATTTGCTTTGCAAACGTTACCTATCTAGTATCTTACCGCAAATTTTCAAAGGGTAATGAACTAGCTAAATCAAAATTATTTCATTATTTTTTCTGGTATTATGACGCAATATGATGTCAATGTTTCAAGGAACTATTTAGTCTGATGCCGTCAACAATGTATTTCTCTACAACTACATCTTAGGCCAATAGAATAGAGGGAGTCTATCGTTTGAAGTCATCTGAGGTCTTTTGGATGTTTCAATACAAAAATTTACTTACCTTGGAGATTCCGCGAAATATGCTTTCCTTCCTTCCGCTCAAAATTCAAAAGTATTGACATGGTCTTTATTTTGTTATGCATTGATGAAAGAATTGGTTGATGGCAAGACGGTAAACTACAACAAGGAGACGTGCTACAAATGTTAGCAAATGATTTTTTTAATACTTGAATCATGCTGATTGTGACACGGCGTCATAACCAGTATAATGTGGGCTTCTGATTGGTCGATGTCCCCTGGGTATATGATAATTCCAAACAATGGTTTGTCACTTACGATGACTTATTGCTTTATATCAATGTATATATAAGAATTGACTCTTGTAATTCATTTCAATGTAGTTGTGCGCATTGCCAGGAATATCTATTTAGCAATACAATATTGATTACTGCCCAATAAACATAGATATTCCCCATGTCTCTATATTAGTAAGCTTTCATGTATGATTGATTTTATGCAATTTCCAATGTGTATGTTAGGTCAGTAACGTAAATTATGCATGTGTATGCAATAAGCGGAGACATCGCTTCAAATGAGTTGGAGTAGAGGATATTTATGTAGTAGAATAGTCAATGACGACAACGATATATATTATCGAGTGTCTTGATCGTTTTCGATACAATGCTGATAATCAAGTTACAGAAATTAAGCAACAGAAAGCAAGTTTCTTTTAAATGTATGTTATGCCAGATGTTAAAACAGATGGAAGTTACGATACGGAAGCCAAGAAGAAGAAGAAATGTCGTCGCCTCCGCAAGAAGCTGTGGCAAACCGCCTGGACTGTGGTCAGCCTGGTAGTCATAACCGTATTGCCGTATTTGGCAGGTATGTCCCTTTCTACAATGTAAATTTGTTACATTCTTTTGCTTTCGTCATCTAGAATCATCAGGGTGTGTTCTGACCCTCTTTTTGTATTTTGCGTTACGAATGTATTGTTGGATGAGATTTTGGTTTGTTCCTCTGTCCAAATAGCGTCCGTTGCATGATGTGTGCGAGGTGATTTTGACAGGCGTACTTTAATAGGGATGCCAAGCCTTATTTAAGGTAACGTGGCCCAATACGCAGCGGGTTGGTTTAAGTGTGTGGTATGTGTGGGATTAAGGGAGTGGTGTAATACCAGATAAAATTGCAGTACAATTTCCTTTAAACTTCAAAATACATTGCTGAAAACCCAAACACACTCCCAATGAGCATGTACACTTAAGAGACCTGAAATACTAAGTGCAAGTCTGAAATCTCCGATTTCTTATTTGATACAGTCAAAGTCAGCAGTAACTCTAACGAGATTGCCAAGTTGTCTGCGGAAGTTATCAAACTTAACAAAAGGATTGAACACCGTAAGTGATGTTTTTTCTTAATATTGTCAGTTGAAACTGTTTTAAATTTACTGTGTTTAAATATTACAGATTCTTTCTTAACCCTAAACAGTACACCTGGGTTCCGCGCGGACCCCAGCACTATATATTATGTAATATCTTTTTTGTTTCTAAAGATTTTTTTCTGAAATTTTAGGTAATTGTCACCCACAAAGTTGTCTCTCAATACAGTGTAGAAAACTCCGTTTCTACCATTTATAAAAAAAAATTATATCTGATTTTCTTTTGGGGTCCGCGCGGACCCCAGCTGGCTTTCGATCATAATGGATACACTGGCGTTCTTATACATTACCTTATTTCCGTTTTTATATCTTTCTATGCACTTATCGTATGTCTACCAAGTTTTAAGAGAATCGTGTAGTAATAGAATTAAATTTTAATAACTTTGGTGTAATTATGACGTCATATGACGTCAGAGCTAATAATGTAGTCCGCCATATTGGATTTTGACCAATGACGTCATCAAATTAGCATATTCTATGCATATTAAATGATTTAACTTATACTTAATTATGTAAGATGTTATTAAAGTTGGAAAAGAAGTGTAATTTAATCTAATTTTTATGTTTAAACCAAAATGACTTCTAATTTCAAAAAACTGCCTGCTAGAAACCCGTTGCCATGGCAACACAAAAAAAACATCAACTTGCTAGTATTAAACTAATATGAACTTTTTTCCAGAGACATTTTAGGAAAGGTCTCCAAATTTGATACTTCCAGCGCAAGCCGTTTAGCCGCTATCTGAGATCAAAGTTGGGCCTCAAAAGCCCCTTCAATCTGAAATGGGTTTAAAAATCGGGTATTTCTTCTTGTCTTCTTTTCTTCACCAAAAAATAGAAAAAGTTCAAAATGTATGATTTTTGTATGTAATGTGGACACAGAGGTTCTCACATCAGTTTGCAAAACAATTGAGCTGGTAACATGTTGATAATTTCTAAAAATTAGCAAAAACTGTTCTGGGGTCCGAGCGGACCCCAGGTGTACAGATTAATCAGTCCGGAAAGGTGTTCTGTTGAGGGTTAAGAAAAAAGTCACAGT